TAATTTCTGATCAAATTGACTTTAAGACAAAAACTGCCATACAAGACAAGGAAGGACATTATATAATGATTAAAGGATAGGTTGAACATGAAGATATAAGCATAATAAATATCTATGGACCCAATGAAAGAACCCCAAAATACATATATCAGACTTTAAAATGGAGTTGAAAAGCCAAATAGATGACTCCACAGTCATAGTTGGAGACTTTAATACACCACTTTCATTGAAAGATAGAACAACTGGAAAGAAACTCATCAAAGATGTAGAAGAGCTAAACATTGCAATCCACCAACTTGGCCTTAAAGACATCTACAGAGCATTTCACCCAGCAGGAGCACAATACATATTTTTCTGTGCATATGGGACATTTTCCAGGATAGACCATATGTTAGGCCATGAAGCAAGCCTTAATAAATTTAAAAATATTGAAATACTGCAAAGCATCTTCTCAGATCATAATGCTATCAAACTAGAAATCAACAACAGGAAGATCAACAGTAAAAGAGTAAACACCTGAAAACCGAACAACACCCTCCTTGAGAAAGACTGGGTAAGAGAAAAAAATCAAAATGAAAATTCATTTCCCTGAAGCAAATGAGAATGATAACACAACATACCGAAATCTTTGGGACACAGCAAAAGCAGTGATCAGAAGCCAATTTATAGCAGACCGAGGGACCAGCACTGCTGGGAAAGAGACTGTGAGAGACTCTTGGCTGAGGGACGGTAGGCTGGGAGAGAGACTGAGCGTTCTTTCTGAACTTGAGTTGTAGCCTGGTGTTTCCCTAATAAACCCTGTAATCTGTGAGTTCTTTGTGGCCACTGCAGCGAATTATCGAACCCAGGAGAGAGGTGGTGGGTGCTTTGGGAGGAACGGTTGGTGAAAGGGCTGGAGGGAGGCAGCATGTTTGGCCTTGCAGTAATAGGCCTTGGGTTACTGCTGTCTTCCTCTTGTGAGATTAGAGGAGGTCAGAACATGTGGCCTCCTTGCCGTTTTTGCAAGCAGTAACTGCACACATCAAAAAAGAAGAGCCAAAATCAACACTTTAAACCAACATCTCCAACAGTTAGAAAAAGAACAGCAGGAAAAGCCTACAGTCACCAGAAGAAAGGAAATAATCAAGATTCGAGCAGAAATCAATGAAACAGAAAATAGAAGGGCAATAAAAAAGCATTCTTTCCAGAGTTAAAAGTGAGACATGTGGAATTCGCTCTTAAAATACTGTTGTTGTTAGGTGCCGTTGAGTAGGCTCTAAGTCATAGCAACCCTTTGCACAACAGAATGAAACACTACCCAGTCTTGCGCTGTCCCCACATCCTTGCTGTGTTTAGGCTGTTGTTGCAGCCACTCTGTCAATCCATTTGGTTGATGGTCTTCATTTTTCACTGTCCTTCTACTTTACCAAGCATGATGTTATTACAAGCTAGTTATATGAAATTTTCATACCATTTCTAGGGATACTAAACTTGGATTTCTAAAGCAAAATTTTCAAGTTTTTGAAGAATTATTTTATGATCATTTCCTTTTTAGCTTTTAGAAAGGCATTTTGAACCCTGGCTATGTGACAGCATTATTCTAGATGCTATGGCTACATTGTTCAACAAAGCAAAACTGTTGTCATCAGGGAGCTTACATTCTAATAGGGGAGACAAGACATAAAGAAGTGTTGTAATTTCAAGTGGAGATACGAAAAATAAAGTAGCATGTGGGTTTTCAGTAACTGAGGCAAGATTGGAAAGCCTTTCTGAAGCCATAATGTTCAACTGGATTTTTGATCAGAGACTTAAGTGAAGGAGCAATATGGTGGAAGAACATTCTAGGTAGAGAAAACGGAAGAACCAAGCACAGAGGTGGCACAAACTTAGTGTTATATCTAAGACTAGTGGGAAATGAAAATACTGGACCTAAAAAATTTGTTACTTTTTAACTTCTCAAGTAGTTTAGAATCTATGAATACTATCTTAAATAGTTAAGGAGCTCTGGTGGTGCTGTGGTTAAAGCATTTGGCTGCTAACCAAAATGTCGACAGGTCAAACCCACCAGCTGCTCTGCAGGAGAAAGATGAGTCAATCTATTTCTGTAAAGATTTACAACCTAAGAAACCCTATAGGTCACTGTGAGTTGAAATCAACTCAATGGCAGCAGGTTTTATATCAAATAGTTTGGAGTTTGCAAACCCTGCAATAATACAAGACTTTATTCCTGTTTTATTTTTTTTGTTGGTTAGATATGTTACAAAACATTAGCAATTTCAAGTATTTTATGTACAGTTAAGTGCTATTCATTATGTTCACCATTTTATGACAGTCACCACCCTGTATGGTTTCTGTGTTACTTTGAAAAGCATTAAGATTTTGAATTTTAATTTAACTTGGAGTTTGTTTCTTTCTGTTTCTTTTTCCCACCAATAGTGGGCAGAGCACTTAAAATGATCTTTTACCTATATTTCAAGCTTTGTAACCTCTTAATCTGCTTAAGTATTTTTGGAGGAATGGAGATACTAATTGTATTGACTTCTTATTTTTATTATATATTTCATTTTTTCTATACTTTGCTTCACCTAGGTCTGTGAAATGAAAAACTGCAATAAATGTGTCTATTTTGAGGCCAAGAAAAAGCAGGATCTCTATATGTGGTAAGGGAATGTAGTAAGAAAGATTTGGGTGGAACTGGTTTGTGTAAGTGGATTTATTCTTTGAAGTTCTCATGTTATAGACTCAAAAGAATGAAAAAATATATATTAAAAAAAAGGGAGGAGAGATGAAGCAAATTAATTTGATTTCATAA